TTCAAAGGATCTTTTTGAAGATATCGCTGTTTAGTTTTCAGCTAACGTAGCCTTTCAGGTACCTTGAATTACAATCTCCTACTACATTTGATCACCTGTAAAATAATACCACTACACCCCTGATGACTTTGTGCATGATACCCTCCATGTCGAAGTGAGGGTTTCTTGGGTATTCTCAACAGAAATATCAGAAATGGTTTCAGTGTAATTAAAGGACCACTATAGCGCCAGGAAAACATACTCGTTTTCCTGGCACTATAGGGTCATTAGGTGTCCACCCCACCCTCAGGGTCCCCCTCCCGCCCGGCTCTCCTCCTCCTCTCCTCCCTCTTCTCCTCCTCCTCGGCTAAATGCGCATGCGTGGCAAGAGCCGCGCACGCATTCAGCCAGTTTCATAGGAAAGCATTCACAATGCTTTCCTATGGACACAGTGAGAAGCACGCAAGCTCATCTAGCGGCTGTCAATGAGACAGCCAATAGAGGAAATAGGGGACGGCTTAACCCATTCATAAACATAGCAGTTTCTCTGAAACTGCTATGTTTATAGAAAAAAGGGTTAATCCTGGCTGGACCTGGCACCCAGACCACTTCATTAAGCTGAAGTGGTCTGGGTGCCTAGAGTGGTCCTTTAATTGCTGTTGTCACTAGAATTTGTGAAGGGAAACTCCTCCTCATCCTCCTTGAATTCTCATTATCCGAGGTGCATTTAGGAATGGGGTGCAGTGTGTCTATTTGGTTTATTTTACATGCTGTCTTAGCACGTCATGTCTGCGTTACTGTGGTAGTAATTCATATGCATTGATATCTTGGTCTGTAATTTTTCCAGATTTAGTAAATCGTTTTGTTAGACTGTCATTCAAACGTTTCCTTTTTTGGGGAACTTTTAAATTTTTTTGTATTTGAGACTTAGAGTCAGGGATCTCTTGGTGGACATGAACATAATTTTCGAGTGAAATCCATGGAAAATCACGCCGGGCATGGCATTACTGGGAGTATTAATGCTGTGGAGCTCTGTTATACACTCAGACACATTACTGGGAGTATTAATGCTGTGGGGCTCTGTTATACACTCAGACACATTACTGGGAGTGTTATTGCTGTGGAGCTCTGTTATACACAGACACATTACTGGCAGTATTATTGCTGTGGAGCTCTGTTATGCACTCAGACACATTACTGGGAGTATTATTGCTGTGAAGCTCTGTTATACACTCAGACACATTACTGGGAGTATTATTGCTGTGAAGCTCTGTTATACACTCAGACACATTACTGGGAGTATTATTGCTGTGGAGCTCTGTTATACACTCAGACACATTACTGGGAGTATTACTGCTGTGGAGCTCTGTTATACACTCAGACACATTACTGGGAGTATTATTGCTGTGGAGCTCTGTTATACACTCAGACACATTACTGGGAGTATTATTGCTGTGGAGCTCTGTTATACACTCGGACACATTACTGGGAGTATTATTGCTGTGGAGCTCTGTTATACACTCAGACACATTACTGGGAGTATTATTGCTGTGGAGCTCTGTTATACACTCAGACACATTACTGGGAGTATTATTGCTGTGGAGCTCTGTTATACACTCAGACACATTACTGGGAGTATTATTGCTGTGGAGCTCTGTTATACACTCAGACACATTACTGGGAGTATTATTGCTGTGGAGCTCTGTTATACATCAGACACATTACTGGGAGTATTATTGCTGTGGAGCTCTGTTATACACTCAGACACATTACTGGGAGTATTATTGCTGTGGAGCTCTGTTATACACTCAGACACATTACTGGGAGTATTATTGCTGTGTAGCTCTGTTATACACTCAGACACATTACTGGGAGTATTTTTACTGTGGAGCTCCGTTATACACTCAGACACATTATTGAGAGTATTATTGCTGTGGAGCTCTGTTATACACTCAGACACATTACTGGGAGTATTATTGCAGTGGAGCACTGTTATACACTCAGACACATTACTGGGAGTATTATTGCCGTGGAGCTTGCCTTGGATTTAACCTTGGTTCGTCTGTTTGTTCGGTTATTGCCCCTTGTCCGTCCAGCTCTACATTTATTGCCCTTTTTACGAAAAAACTACCGAATGGCAGGCCACCCAGCAGGGAAGTGTGCTGCTTGTTAGCCTTTCTGCCCTCATTAATGTTGTGGTTAACCGCAGACAGTTCCAACTCCCGAATGGTCGGCTGGGTGGTCATCGTTCATATGAACGAACACGTGGCGGGTGGCCATCTTGGACATTCGAACGCCCAGCGGTGTTCGTCTACAAATTCATGGAACTAAGATTGGACACTATTTTCATACGAACACCGCTGAAGTCGACGACCCTCCTTCGTCCTGTTCAAGATTCATACGAATGCCGTGCCGTTCGGTACATTGACTATACGAACAGAGCCACCCCAGATAGATATCGCATGGAGCCCATTCGTTTGATGAATACACTATGTGCAAGACTTTAGCTCCATGGCGATTGAACTGTGTGTATGGGATCTGAGCGCTATTCGGTGATATTGTGCACTCAGATCAAAGCTATCTGGGCATACATTGAATGTGGGGATTCTGTTCGGTAGTTTGGGAATTATATATTTTTATTGTATTTCTCTGTTCATGTAAAATGGAGGTTATGCTCTATCCCTTGAGGTAATTGAGTTACTTCTAGCACCTAACCCAATTATCTCCAGGATAGAGAGGAGGGTTTGTAATGTTCATGTGGGAGTGTTTATCCATGTGTATACTTTTGATTGGTTACTGTAAAAACTTGTCCCAGTCTTCCACCAGGTCCCTATGGGTGTTTCCCTGGGTGGAAGACCTGCATAAAAGACAGGCATGTAGCCCACATTAAACAGATTCCTGCTTGACCCTCAATACAGAGCCTCGTCTCGTACTTGGGGGATTATTCGTGTGTTTTCCTGTTCTGTGCTTAGGAGTGTTCGGTAGCTGATCTGGTATTCGGGAAGGGAACATCTTTGGCAGTGTTAACCCCATCTATACCCGGGGTGCCGTTACAACCGCCAATCACAGATAATCACCGTCAATCACTGTTTTCTTTTGCATTTCTATTAAAGATTTAGCAAATTACATCATAACCTGGTTCAGTCCAGGCACAGCCAGGGCACACAATGCAAACGAGGAGAAGAAATATAAACATAATTTAATTTCTCCTCATCATCGTATGCTCTCTCTATACTGACTGCCAGGTGTAAAGGGCGGAGCTTATAACAATGATTGACAGGGAGCTAAGATGGAGGTGGCTCTCTATACTGACTGCCAGGTGTAAAGGGCGGAGCTTATAACAATGATTGACAGGGAGCTAAGATGGAGGCGCCCAGTTACAGGATAAAGAGCTGGGGATTTCTATATTTAGAGAGTTATTTACTAAAGTGAGAATTCAAAGTGAATTTCAAATTAACGGTAAAGTGGCCAAACTGGAAAGAGGTCAGTAATGCTTGCAGTTTGGCAATTGTGACCTTAAATGTGAGTTCTCAATCTAGTGAATAACCCTGTTCATTTTACTTCTCACACGTCGCAGATACGTTTTGTTAAATATAGGAATAAGCACAGACAATATTCTAATCCTGGGGAGCCCCCTCTCCGGACGGCTCCCGATGATGGATTTTGTATAAACTGGCTCTGATTCAGCCAATTAGAAGCCACCATAACACACACAAAAGAGATTGGATGAACGCTGAACAACCGAACAAAAATAGAGGAGGCGTCACCAGGGATGTATTAGCCGCGAGGCAAACAAGGCATTTGCCTTGGGCGGCATTTTTCAGGGGGCGGCAAAAAACGCCGCCCCCCAAATGCCCAGGGCAAATGCCTAGTTAGCCTTGCGGCTAACTGACATCCCGAGCGGGCGGCGCTGGCAGGCGGGCGGCTGGCGAGGGAGCACTTCCTGTGAGCTGACTGCTCAGTTCCCTCGCGCGACGCAGAGTGAGGCTGGGAGCCGGAAGATGACGTCATATTCCGGCTCCCAGCCTCAGTCTGCGGTGAGCGAGGGAGCTGAGCAGACAGCTCACAGGAAGAGCTCCCTCGCCAGCTGCCCGACTGCCAGCGCCGCCCGCCCGCTCTGCAGCCACTGGACCACCAGGGAGAGAGACCCCCCCCCAGCACTCCCAAAGGTAAGGAGGTTGGGGGGGGGGATTTAAATTTAAAAAAAAGTTAATGTGTGTGTGTGTCTGATTGTGTGTGTGTGTGTCTGACTGTGCTTCTGTGTGTCTGTGTGTGTGTGTCTGTGTGTGTGTGTGTGACTGTGTGTGTGTGCCTGACTGTGTGTGTGACTGTGTGTGTGTTTTGTGTCTGTGTATGTGTCTGGACTGTGCTCCGTGTATGTGTCGACCGTGTGTGTGTGTATGTGTCTGAATTGTGTGTGTGTGTAACAGTCTGTGTGTGTGTGTGTGTTGAAGTTCGACTGTGTGTGTGTCTGACTGTGTGTGTGTCTGACTGTGTGTGTGTAATTGTGTGTGTGTTGTGTCTGACTGTGTTTGTGTCTGACTGTGTCTGTATGTGTCTGACTGTGTGTGTTTGTGTCTGTGTGTTTGTGTCTGAATTTGTGTCTATTCGTGTGTGTGTGTGTGTGTGTGTCTGACTGTGTGTGTGTCTGGACTGTGTTTGTAGTCTGAATTGTTTGTGTGTTTGTGAGTGTGTGTGTGTGTGTGTTTGTGTCTGACTGTGTGTATGTGTCTGACTGTGTGTGTGTGTGTATGTGTCTGACTGTGTGTGTGTGTATGTGTCTGACTGTGTGTGTGTGTGTATTTAGAAGGTGGGGCGGGGGGAAGGGTTGGGTGGGGATGGCGCGGGGGAGGGGGGCGCCTGAGTTTTGTCCTGCCTAGGGCAGCACAAAACCAAGATACACCACTGGGCGTCACACCTGAAAATAGGGGATTACCTCACAGACAAACGATCTAACGAGATCTCTAAAATACAATACAAATAGTCTTTATAACAACCCAGAAGTAAAAGAAAATACCAGAAATATGATAGTCTTATAAATAATGGTCCTCCATTCAAAATTCATACAGCACTTGTGGAATCACTTCGCTCAATAGCAGCATATGAAAGGAAAACACAAAGAGGAAAAGACCAATAGTGCAGTATGGTAGTAAAATGTATTACACACGGCACAACGGTTTAAAAATGCCAACTCACGTATTATAGAGCTATATCAGCTCTGGATAAAACAGCGTGCAGTGGTATTATATCCCCATTTCAGGCAATATATTCTTCAAACAATAGTTCACAGCAGAATGATAATGGGGTGGACCATGTGCAATGATAAAAAAAATAGCCACAGTAGTCCACAAGAGTATCTGGAGGTAAGTCCAGGTGCCAGGTAACAGATGAAAAATAATACTAATAAAAACTAGAGAGTATATTGCTCAGCACAAGCAGTGTAGTAGCCAAAAATACTTATTTTCAATATAAACAGAATTAAACCACGACGCGTTTCTCCCATTAGGCCTTTTTCAAGTGGATAAAAACATAACCTGGCATTAACATACATTTATAGGCTTCTGATTTGAATCTTTCTATATCATGTTTATTTTAAGGTTATATTTTAATGATTTAAGTCACGTTACCACATTTGTGGTCATGTGACAATGATGTAATTTTGGTGTCAATTTTCAAATCAGAAGTACTCAGATTGTCCGATTTCTGGTATCCTGACCGTGGCTTTGTATTTGACTTGTGATTTCTGGTATCCTGACCGCCGCTCCGTATTTGACCTATGATTTCTGGTATCCTGACCTTGGCTTCTTTTTTGACTTGTGATTTCTGATATCCTGACCTCGGCTTCGTATTTGATTTGTGATTTCTGGTATCCTAACCTCGGCTTTGTATTTGACTTATGATTTCTGGTATCCTGACCTCGGCTTCGTATTTGACTTATGATTTTTGGTATCCTGACCTCGGCTTCGTATTTGACTTGTGACTTCTGGTATCCTGACCTCGGCTTCGTGTTTGACTTGTGATTTCTAGTATCCTGACCGCGGCTTCGTCTTTGACTTGTGATTTCTGGTATCCTGACCTCGGCTTCGTATTTGACTTGTGATTTCTGGTATCCTGACCTCGGCTTTGTATTTGACTTGTGATTTCTGGTATCCCGACCTTGGCTTCGTATTTCACTTATGATTTCCGGTATCCTGACCTCGGCTTCGTATTTGACTTGTGATTTCTGGTACCCTGACCCGGCTTCGTATTTGACTTGTGATTTCTGGTATCCTGACTCAGCTTCGCATTTGACTTGTGATTTCTGGTATCCTGACTCAGCTTCGTATTTGACTAGTGATTTCTGGTATCCTGACCTAGGCTTCTGTAACTGAACTCCCCGTACTCCGACCGAGTACCTTCCATTGATGGACGCTTCCTAGCTTGCGCCGAGGACCACAAACAACGCACCAGACACCACAACCACCGCAGACTCCACAACCGCCGTAGCTTTAACTGGAGTCTCACAGTCTTCTGTCCACCCTGGATCAGCTTCACCCTGGATCAGCTTCTGTCCTCCAGGACCGTGTGGGGAAGACCTCTCCTCCAGGAGAGCGTAACAGGAACAGCTCTTAAAAGAGCTAAGTGATTAAAGCTCAAGGGAGTATGCAGAGCATAGCAATCCCCAGTGTGAGTATAGCTGTCCCCTCCACTCACAAGACAAGACTAGATGTTGAGGATCAAGAAGAACTGACTAAAACTTTATTTTACTTGGGACTAGCCCATATGGTCATTACATTAACATTGCTGTGAAAACTCAATAAAATTACAAACAGTCGAATCATAGCAGGCAACATACAGTGACTTATTATAACATAATTACATATTTATAAATGGGTGGGGAAGACCATAATTAACACAAAATGTCTCTCCTGCATGCAGAATTAGCGATATGCAAATCTATCCGAACATGCAAATTACCAGTCTTGCTATTCAGGTAGTGCATATTACTGTTGCTACCAACAGACGGCACTACACAAGCTCCATAGCCAAATCCACCTAGTTGGTAGCAATCCTCAGCAGTACAGGAGAGCAGGCAATACATCCCAGGGGCCATAGTCACATGGCAGGAGTCTGGCAATCAGTCTTCTCCAATGCCCAGTGGCGAGGCTGGTTCCATCACACCATATATCCCAGGGCCATAGTCAGAAGGTTGGAGGCGGGCAAGCAGCCCCCTCCAAGAACACGTGGCGAGGTCTGTTCCGCCACAGCTTCGTATTTGACTTGTGATTTCTGGTATCCTGACCCCGCTGCGTATTTGACTTGTGATTTCTGGTATCCTGACCTCGGCTTCGTATTTGACTTGTGATTTCTGGTATCCTGACCTCGGCTTCGTATTTGACTTGTGATTTCTGGTATCCTGACCCGGCTGCGTATTTGACTTGTGATTTCTGGTATCCTGACCCGGCTGCGTATTTGACTTGTGATTTCTGGTATCCTGACCCGGCTGCGTATTTGACTTGTGATTTCTGGTATCCTTATCTCAGCTTCGTATTTAACTCGTGATTTCTGGTATCCTGACCTCGGCTTCGTATTTGACTTGTGATTTCTGGTATCCTGACCTCGGCTTCGTATTTGACTTGTGATTTCTGGTATCCTGACCCGGCTGCGTATTTGACTTGTGATTTCTGGTATCCTGACCTCGGCTTCGTATTTTGACTTGTGATTTCTGGTATCCTGACCCGGCTTCATATTTGACTTGTGATTTCTGGTATCCTGACCCGGCTGCGTATTTGACTTGTGATTTCTGGTATCCTGACCTCGGCTTCGTATTTGACTTGTGATTTCTGGTATCCTGACCCCACTGCGTATTTGACTTGTGATTTCTGGTATCCTGACTTCGGCTTCGTATTTGACTTGTGATTTCTGGTATCCTGACCTCGGCTTCGTATTTGACTTGTGATTTCTGGTATCCTGACCCGGCTGCCTATTTGACTTGTGGTTTCTGGTATCCTGACCCGGCTGCGTATTTGACTTGTGATTTCTGGTATCCTGACCCGGCTTCGTATTTGACTTGTGATTTCTGGTATCCTGACCTCGGCTTCGTATTTGACTTGTGATTTCTGGTATCCTGACCCGGCTGCGTATTTGACTTGTGATTTCTGGTATCCTGACCCGGCTGCCTATTTGACTTGTGATTTCTGGTATCCTGACACGGCTGCGTATTTGACTTGTGATTTCTGGTATCCTGACCTCGGCTGCGTATTTGACTTGTGATTTCTGGTATCCTGACCTCGGCTACGTATTTGACTTGTGATTTCTGGTATCCTGACCTCGGCTTCGTATTTGACTTGTGATTTCTGGTGTCCTGACCCGGCTTCGTATTTGACTTGTGATTTCTGGTATCCTGACCTCGGCTTCGTATTTGACTTGTGATTTCTGGTATCCTGACCCGGCTGCGTATTTGACTTGTGATTTCTGGTATCCTGACCCGGCTGCCTATTTGACTTGTGATTTCTGGTATCCTGACCTCGGCTGCCTATTTGACTTGTGATTTCTGGTATCCTGACCCGGCTGCGTATTTGACTTGTGATTTCTGGTATCCTGACCTCGGCTACGTATTTGACTTGTGATTTCTGGTATCCTGACCTCGGCTTCGTATTTGACTTGTGATTTCTGGTATCCTGACCCGGCTTCGTATTTGACTTGTGATTTCTGGTATCCTGACCCGGCTTCGTATTTGACTTGTGATTTCTGGTGTCCTGACTCGGCTTCGTATTTGACTCTGATTTCTGGTATCCTGACCTCGGCTTCGTATTTGACTCTGATTTCTGGTATCCTGACCCGGCTGCGTATTTGACTTGTGATTTCTGGTATCCTGACCCGGCTTCGTATTTGACTTGTGATTTCTGGTATCCTGACCTCGGCTGCCTATTTGACTTGTGATTTCTGATATCCTGACCCGGCTGCGTATTTGACTTGTGATTTCTGGTATCCTGACCCGGCTGCGTATTTGACTTGTGATTTCTGGTATCCTGACCTCGGCTGCGTATTTGACTTGTGATTTCTGGTATCCTGACCTCGGCTTCGTATTTTGACTTGTGCTTTCTGGTATCCTGACCTCGGCTTCGTATTTGACTTGTGATTTCTGGTATCCTGACCCGGCTGCGTATTTGACTTGTGATTTCTGGTATCCTGACCTCGGCTTCGTATTTGACTTGTGATTTCTGGTATCCTGACCCGGCTTCGTATTTGACTTGTGATTTCTGGTATCCTGACCTCGGCTGCCTATTTGACTTGTGATTTCTGGTATCCTGACCCGGCTGCGTATTTGACTTGTGATTTCTGGTATCCTGACCCGGCTGCCTATTTGACTTGTGATTTCTGGTATCCTGACCCGGCTGCGTATTTGACTTGTGATTTCTGGTATCCTGACCCGGCTTCGTATTTGACTTGTGATTTCTGGTATCCTGACCCGGCTGCGTATTTGATTTGTGATTTCTGGTATCCTGACCTCGGCTTCGTATTTTGACTTGTGATTTCTGGTATCCTGACCCGGCCATTATTTGACTTGTGATTTCTGGTATCCTGACCGACTCGCGTGTTGACTTGTGATTTCTGGTATCTGACCTCGGCCGTGTTATTTGACTTGTGATTTCTGGTTATCCTGACCGACGATTATTTGACTTGTGATTTCTGGTATCCTGACCGATGCGTGTTTGACTTGTGATTTCTGGTATCCTGACCGACCGTGTTGACTTGTGATTTCTGGTATCCTGACCGGCCGTGTTATTTTGACTTGTGGTTCTGGTATCCTGACCTCGGCCGTGTTTGACTTGTGGTTCTGGTATCTATCCTGACCCGGCTGCGTATTTGACTTGTGATTTCTGGTATCCTGACCTCGGCTTCGTATTTGACTTGTGATTTCTGGTATCCTGACCTCGGCTTCGTATTTGACTTGTGATTTCTGGTATCCTGACCCGGCTTCGTATTTTGACTTGTGATTTCTGGTATCCTGACCCGGCTTCGTATTTTGACTTGTGATTTCTGGTATCCTGACCTCGGCTTCGTATATATTCTGTGTATTTCTGACCTTATTTCTTGCTGTTTTAATACGTTAAGTCCGGCCTTTCTAAGAATCCACATTTTGTGGGTTTTCACTTTCCTGCATGTTGGGGGTAAGACTCCCTTGAAAGTCTTATTTCTGGTATTTTTTTTACTTCTGGACTGTTATAAAAATGATTTGTATCTTA